CACACACTACGGGAGTAGCCATTTTTCTTGTAGAACACAACGATGGACGTGTTTAAGTCTAAATTACAGCAGTTCACTGGTAAGCCCTCAGCTAAGTTATCTGAATATTGTTAATTCAAAGATATTTCCTATTTTTCTGATACATTGTTTCAACTTTTGTAAAAAGATCAAGACTTTTGTGTAAAGTTTTCTAGATCACTGAAATAAATGATAAATTCATCGATCTGTTACCTTGTTACAACCGTGTACCTTCAATGATATTACGTTTTTAGACCATCAAGACGAGACTCTTGAATGTCCACATTACCCTTGGCTAATTTAAATATACAACATTTTTCTTGTATAGTACAGTTTTCTTGAATGTATAATCAATTACTTGTATCAGTCTAAATTACAGCAATTATAGACTAGCAAAGCCCAACTAAGTCCAGTATGATACCTTCAATCGTATTTATCGTTTTTCTGATAACTCTCAATTTTCATTTATTTCTACAATATTACTTTGAAGTTCATATTACTGTCACCATCAAAGTTTATTTTCTTCCACTGCAATGAATTTATTTGAGCAATGTTTCTTGGTTGTGTCGTCTAAGTATTGCTCATTAATGTGAGCTTAGTGATGTGAGCCATAATAAGGTGTATATTAGACGCGTCAGCAGGGCAGCGGTCGGCAAAGTGTTTTAGGTGAGGTCCTAAAAGTAAAATGGAAAAGGTTTCAACGCCCAACAATTAGTAAAAATAACATGATCTCTTTCAACGAAATAGTAAGTATATTTGTGAGCTTTCGTTAGATCATGGTCTAACTTCTTCAAACAATACAAGATATAACTGAAAATATGAAAGATCATATAAATTATAGTCTATTATTGAGTTTCCTATAACTGGATACAGATGCTATCGTATCATCTTAGAATTACGTTGAAAATTTTAAATTTAACTACGTAATGAACTTACTAGTTAAAGGGGCATTTAATTTGTTCAAATGAAAATAGAACTTGTGTGTATCACTGCCATAATTGAAAGGGGCAGGGGTTCTCACACTTTCGGTGTTACGGAGTCCATGAAAAGGTTGACTACTGTTTACGGAGTCTCGCAATAAATTTATGGAAATAAAAACACATTGCTACCTGATTAATGTTCCTAAGTAAATTACTGTGTGTATCACTGCCATAATTAGAATTTTTTGAATCCCACCAGAAAATGCTCGACGACCCACAGTTTGCATACCATTGAGCTAGAGTTGAATGAAAATTTACGATCAGTGCTGGGTTGAAAAAAAGACTTGACCTACAACTGTCGACTCATGTCCCCGATTTGATGAAAATTCTGACGTCGACTCCTAGAAATTTTGATTCCTGTACTAAATTCCAAAGGAAATTTTGATAATAAAAACTCTGGATATGCAAGCCTTCTACAATAAACTGTTAGCAACATTCAATCCAGTGGTTCCCAAACTGTGGGTCGCGACCCCGGGTGGTGTCCGAAGTATCACACGCTTTCTTACAATCTACCACGTTTTAACAAGCATGCCTATGTTTCGCCAAAGAACCGTTGTAATTCTGATCTCAGAGATTTTTACACGCGCATTGCCGAACTCGTTCATATATATTTTTGAGCCAAAGTTCACCGTCCATGTGAAGCTGATATACGGGAACATTGTTCCCGTTGAGATAATTAAAATGATATTTATACTGATTTTTGAAATTGCTGAACGTTTCTAGTTGTGGGGTCGCGAGTTATCTGCAGGCTTTGATTTTATGTAAATTCGAATCGCGAAAAAAAAAGTTTGTGAACCACTGATATCGTCGACTGAGTTTCTCTGTAAATTTCGATTCCGGCTATTACAATTGGAAGTCTGTTTGACCATCCGTGGTGCTGTGATAACAAACTCAAATGTAGAAAGCTCCAAAAATATTGACAGTTGGGTATTCGTAGTTAAAGGCAGGATGACGAAGCTCTTATGAATGGGCCAGGTCCCGATGTTTATTTTAGTTCTATTGGAATTATGGTCTAACCCGGAACCCATGCTACATTCTGGTGTCCGCCATTTTAGTGCACATAATTCTAGAGTGCCGAATAGTGTGATTAAGATTGAGGAACCGTTGTAAAACTGTCTATGGAATTTCTGTGGCGTTCCGTTAGCTTTGGTGCCCTAACCATGCTTAATGGTTAATTCAAGCACTGGGAACCACTCTCCGACGGCGAAGAGTCCAGCAATCCGCCCGCATATAAGTGGGTGCTCCTGAAGTATTCGTACCAAGATGGTGCACAACCTAAACATAGTATCGTACCAGGTTAGGGTTGTTCAGGTTGTGCGTCATCTTGGTACGAATACTTCGGAGCGCCTATTATAATTGAACCTGCTAACGCAAACAGAGGAATCAGCAAAAAAGGTCGTGCTGGTTCGAATACTTGGCACAATTTTATCGCGCGTTCTTTGTCAGTTGCAATCTATACGCGGAAGCATTTAAATAATAACCTATGATGTCATACTATCATACACACATTACCGTCTATGACAAAATAGTATGTTTACTCTAACTTGGATACAATTTTTCATTAGTTATGTACGATTCATTGATAAATTTGTACATTACATGAAAATGATACTGAAATTACAGACTTTTTGACAGAGTGAAATTAAATAGTTACAACAGGAATTGGTATTTTGTTTTTGCCCGGGCTCACATGTAGGCCGTAGTATTACGAAGTTAGATTAGCTATGTTAGCTCGAATGTAGCTCACAGTGGAAAAAGTATTGGAAGAGGAATTACACGCAACCTCTGGGGAAGAGAAGATTTATTTTAGGCTCCTATTTGCAAATTTTGCGTTTGAAACAAAATCAGTCTGCAATGAAAGCTTTCAAGTTGTTGTTCATGTGCATTGGATTCGCTACGACAGGTGAATTGTTACTTATCGATCTTAAGATCAGAAGCCTATTGATTTTGGATGAATTATGTCGTATAATTAGCGAGTTATTAATTAATTAGTGATGAAGAGATCTGGATTTTCACAAATCGAGAGATTTTCGAGACGCGCTGAATGTGTGTGTGCGTATCAGATGCGCAAGTTTTCACGCTAGTGAGTCAGAGCGAAGGATACACACCGCTAGATCGTATCTCGTGATTAATCTTTGAGCCTTGTCCATATCTCTCTTGTAACTTTGACGTCGTCGCGATGCGCAAGTTTCCTTCGAGAAATTTTCCACACTATTGAGTCAGAGCGAAGGATACACGCCGCGAGATCGTATCTCGTTACTTATAATTACTCCTTAAAGTTTAAGCAATGTCCATATCCCTAAATCAGGTTCGGGGTTGCAGAATTCCTCACCAAAATATCGCTAGGCTGTGTTTGAATAGCCGTCGCAACCTGGGTTAGCGCCGTTGTATTTGACACAAACTATAGGATTGGTAAATACAGAAATAGGCTATTGGCTGGAAACTAATCGAAACAATCCAGTTCGGATTTGCAGAATTCTTCATAAAAGTATTTCCTCGAGTAGTATTTCGACGACATGGGGAGTTGGCTATTGTTTCCTACATTTCTGATATTGGCTGAAAACTAATCAAAACAATCCAGTTCGGGTTTGCAGAATTTTTCGAATCGAAACCGCAGTTTCTGTTTTGGGGGATCCCCTAACTTTCGATCGATAAGTCTTCGGTCTCTGACCGATATTCTCGTTTTATTATTGATATGTAGCAAACGTGGATTGTAACGTTATTAAACCTCTTCAAATTAATAGTATGTTGCATTCTGCAAAATGGGTCAATTCCAACGCGACAGCGATAAAGCTTTGGTCCCCCATTTGTAAGGAACCCATTGGATGACGCATGTTTCCGGTTGCGCCTAGTGCTGAAATCTATATATTGTGCTTGTGATTATTCTGATTTTACTGCATTAAGGAGTTGGGTGTTTTCAATTTATATGTATTCGGATTGCATTGTGCAGCTTTCAGTATAACAACAATTGGCATCCAATACATTGTTGTGTGCTTTATTGATCTCTGAAGCAATCGAGATTGAGGTTACATCCCATAACGTGTGTCAATTCAATAACACGGGAATCGAATATACATATAGGGACAAACAATTCCCTATAGATAATTTGTTGCCGGTATGTGACTCAGCGTCGGCCGCTTTTGAAAGTTTTTACGCTGTTTTATATCACACCAAGAGCGATTTTGGGATAATCCCCTCTCCATTACAACAAAACTGAAATTTAAAAGAAACCGGGTGATTTTCTAAATATTTATGTCAAAAGCGAAAGGGCATTTAGGTAAAAAGCAGGAGAAAAAAAATGTTGTCTCCGTATCCAGTGTCGGACCCACATTTTCAAATCATCCGGAGTCGGAGTTTTATTTTTATCGAAGTCGGAGATTTGAAAAAGTTTCCCTGAAAGTGAAGTCTTGTATTTAAATATCCCTGAGCGGAGTCTTGTTTTTAAATTGCTTGAAGTTTGGAGTTATATTTTTGAATTCATCGGAGTCGAGATGTTCGTAGTTTTTATCAATCCATTAATATGGCTCATGGAAAACTCAATAAATATATATATATAATTTTCTGGGGTATTGGGTCATAGACAAGTTCATTTATTTCTCTATCCCTGGGTTCGGCAACCTCTTGTCCCCCGCGGGTCAAAATTAAGGGTTGCAAGTCATTGGCGGGTCGCTCGCATATTTAGAAAGTTGAAAACCGAACGATTAATACTTTTTATAAGAAAAATCAAACAGTGATACATCTCTCGAGTTTAATATAGATTTATTTCCTCGTAGCATTGCATCTTAAAAAATTCCGGATCTGGCCCGCGGGCAGTAGGTTGCCAACCCCTGCTCTATATACAATCAGCTAACATTACTTTATTTTCGCATTTTTCAATTCAGGGGCAGTGCAATGATGACGTCACTCCGATATGAGGAAACGATCACGGTGAGCAATTATGATCTATTTTGGGAATCATTAACCTTTTTATAGCTGACTCAACTTTACTGTTTTATTTTACAGGCAAAGAACGAGAGAGGTGAGTTACGGGTTAACATACTGCGTTATGCTCTTTTATAAAGTAAATTTAGGGACTGGGATAGCTTTGTGATTTGGAGAATTTAAAGTCTAATTTGGCAAATGAAACAAAAACAAGAGAGCAACGCTCAAATACATGGACACGTGGACCAGAGCGAAGCAGTCCTTACCTTTGACGTTACCGGTACCGTACCCTCAAAAAACTTCGAGTTTTCAGTCGCAACAATTTTCACAGTCAGTCGTCACGCTTGGCGGATAAAAACCGTGTTCCCATAATTAAAAAGTAATACAGCGCAATTTTGGATGAAATAATAGATCTCATAAGATTCATAGTAAATTTAGGAAATAATAAAAGTAATAGCCTTCTGGCAAAAAAATCAATTATTAACCACTGAAAATTTCAAAGCTATTGGTCCAGTATTCGAAGAGAAAAGCGATTTTTTAATGATAATGATGAGTAAAATCAACAACATAATATTGAAACGATCGTTATGTCCACTGACGTGTCCAAAAAATATCTGTGAATGCAAAAACCCGTGTTTTGAAACTATGATCAAATTCGAGAGTTGTCAACAAATAGCAGATATTTTCATCCAAATATACTGCATAGGGCGCACGTTAAATCTTTTTTCTCTTTCAAAAATGCGCCTTATATGCCTGTCTGCCTCATGTATGATCCGGCAGTGCTTTATTGCCTACATTTAAAACCAGTAACTGTACCATTGTTTTGTCAACAAACCGCATTTTACGTTTTTTTTTTAGTTTAATGAGCTTTGTATGGTAAACCGATACTTGTCGAAAACCGTCGCGTCTCATATTCAGATGCGCCTAGTGTGATGGTGAAACCAAAATCCTCGCAACTTATCGAGGATGCGTCTTATGGACCGTGAAATACGGTACTCAACAGTAAAGTAGAAGTTGAAAATACGTAATTTCTGTTTTGCTCAGAATTAAGAGAGAAATTGACTGAAAAGCTGGAAAACGCATTACTGGACAAACAGATTGATGAAGTTACTATAACAACCGAGGTTTCCCATGGCAACGAGGTTCATTCAACCAAAATCACCAAGTTTGACGTAACAACTCGTAATGAACTGGATCTGGATGACACGACTTTCGATACTTCTACTAAAGGTGATGATATCACAAAAGCCGCTACGTCATCTAGCTACCGAACAGAGAAAGATCGTGACGTCACAACAACGACTGTGGTCGAAAACGGTTTCACAACTCAATTGATCACTTCCATTGCTTCCACTAAGTCGTTCCAGGAGTCGACTGCGGCCACAGGTTACATTTTTTTCGGTTCACGCTGAATGAGAGGAAAGCTTATTAGATTGTTTAGCGGCACTACGAGTTAAGGCGGTCTATCTTAAAGTACGGGTGAATAAAATGAATAAAAAATAGTTATAAGTAACTGACTCAATTTTTGTTCAGGCTGTGTCGTTGTTCACAATTCAAAATGTTTTCGAGCGATCGTTTATGACTACATGAACATCTCCTTCAGCGTTGCTGAATCTATCTGCGGAAACAAACTTGCTAACATTTATGACATCACACACTTTAACCTACTTCAAGATTATTTACGACCAATGATTCCTGATGGATGGTTATACGCTTGGGTTCGTACAGGAATGACTTACAAGGTGGGTGAAGTCTGGGCCATGTTGCTTATGTGACCTTACATGAATTATTTATATTTTATTGTATTTCTGGCAACTGGTATTTTCCCAAATTGCTTAGTATGGTGGATGAAAAGGGATAGCTGAACATGATCAATGACGTTATCATTTAAAGATTGCGAAGCATGATCAATGACGTCATCATTTATAGATGACTGAGCATAATCAGTGAAGTCATCTTTTACAGATGGCGAGCACACTTATTCGTAAATCCACATTGCAGCAGTTATCACATTTGGTATTGCTAGATTTCTGAAACACACATTCTTTATATCAACAGAACGGTCAGCTGTATTCAACGACGGGCCAAGCTATATCTCTGCCAACTGAGGTTTGGTTTCCTAATTATTATCCATCTTCTGATGCATCATACACAACTGTTGTTGTTCGTGTCAGTCGAAACCCGGAAGACGCATATCAAGGGATTTATAATGCGACTCCTTCCATAGGATTTAACGGAGGCCTTTGTGAAAATGAATTATAACTCTATTCATCGAATGATTGATAAACTAAAACTGTAGCATTAGGGTTATTAGTAGGTTGCATGTCCGCATTATATTTTGAATGAGATGCAAAATTTATATATAGAGAGACAAGCCTTAACACAGCACAATCCTGTCCACTAATCTCAAATTTGAGGGCTATATGATGCGTATTCAAATGAGGTTTTTCTTGCGTGGGCATTTCTAAAAAACGCATTTTGCTTGTAAGATTTCTACCGCATAGAATATTTTTCAGATGTGTTCGAGAAATGTTTGAATTTATTATTCTACCTGATTTGTTTTTAAGGGTAATGGAATTGTGCACGATATTGTTTATTCGGTACTCCCGAAGTATGTGATCCAAGATGGCAAATACTGAAACGTAGTATGTGTACCAGGCTAGAGTTATGCTATACATTTATTCCCATTTTCCTTAATTTAGTTCTATTACGAGTTCGGAGACTAGCCAAGTGACTCCCATAGTCTTTTTAACTGAAATTATGACCTAACCTTAACCTGGTACACACCTGGTATAATTTCTCACTTCAGCTCCGAAAAAGAAAATTTCCTTTCAAATTTTGATAACGAAAACGTTGGCGTTTTTAATTCGATACTCCCGAAGTATGCGAGCCAATCAAGATGGCGAACACCGGAACGTAGTATGTGTACCAGGTTAGGGTTAGGCCATGATTTTAGATACGAATATATCACGGGAGTCACTTGGCTAGTCCCCGAACTCGTAATAAAATTATGGCCTAACCTGGTACACATACTACGTACCGGTGTCGCCATCTTGGTTCACATACTTCGGGAGTACCTTCAAGTCTTTTCGAATCAATGTTTCAAAAGTCTAATAAAATGAATACTTTTGGAACTAACAAATAAGTTATGACTAATCATATAACCACCGAAAGTTTGCGATTTTGAAAAATTCAGACTCTCGCTCTATTAGAAATTTGCTGAACTTTTGTCTTCACTGCCCTGTATCTAATGAGGTATGTCATCATACGAAGAATCGTTCTGTGCAGATTAGATTCCTTTAGAAAACTCGAAATCAAAATTACAACGCAGAACTAATTCGATGTAAACATTTTTGCCAGTGATTTTATTTTATACTTAATTCAAGAGTCTTGCTGCACATTTACACTTACTTGCGTTTCTTGTCATAGTTGTAAAATGCTTGTCTGAAGAAGTCTGACCTTGGTCAGACGAAACGTTACGTCTAAGTGTGCAGCAAGACTCTTGAATAGAATAGTCATTTTCACTCTTGCTATAGCATTCTTGCGTTATACGCATACGGATACACCTGCGCGAAGGCATAGAGCAAGGAAAGGTAGTTAGTTTCACGTCACCCCAACTGTTAGTTTATTTATAATATTACTTTACTATTTCTCTGTATTTATTTCATCTCTTTTTAACTTTTTTACCAGTCGGAATCTTTTGTTACACCGAGACTCACATTTACTTGATTTTTGGAACGTAAACTTTGTGACAGTTTAACTTGTTTATTTGTTATTTTTGACGCCGTAATTTCCCTTGAGTGTGTGAGTACGCAAATAACAATCTGTACACTTTATTGCAAACAATTGAGAGAGTATTCGAATGCGGTTGCCTGTCCTAGCAGTGTGTTCCCCAGCTTTTTATGTTAGGGGGGGGGGGGGGGGGGGGGGGAGATATTTTGTTATTAGTGATAAAACTATTTATCACTTATAAAAATGTGTTATGTATTTGACTGACTATGTATCTTATATGACTTATGTAATTCAACGGCATATGAGCTACTTTCCAAATATCCAAGCACATTTTTATTTACGTTGAGAAATAAAGTATGGTGTCACACCTGAAAATTAGGGGTTTTTCACCCCCTTATTAGGAGGGATGTAGGGAAATCAATGTGTGCAGACATGTCATGGATAGTTTCGGCACTCTGCCATTAGGTAGCGCTTTGCTCTTGCAGAAAGGGGCGCTCGTTTCTTTGTAAATGAGTTTTTCGACATTAGGAATATTGCGCGCGATAGAATGATGGGCGCTCCCGTTGTATTTGTACCAAGATGGCGCACAACCTGCTAACCCTAACCTGTTACACATACTATGTTCAGGTTGTGCGCCATCTTGGTACGAATACTACGGGAGCACCGATTAATGGGTGCTCCCGAAGTATGCGAACCAAGATGGCGGACATCGGAACGTAACATGGGTAACAGGTTAGGGTTAGGCGATAATTTTTTTCCAATTTTCCTTATTTTAGTCCTATTATCAGTTCGAAGACTAGCCAAGAGCCTCCCGTAGTATTTATACCTAAAATTATGGCCTAACCCTAACCTAGTACACATATTACATTCCGATGTCCGCCATCTTGGTTCGCATACTTCGGGAGCCCCGATTAATGTTTATTAGGGTTTCTCCATATTGCCTGGTTTAATGATATTTCTATGAGCATTATTTTTGCCATGTGATTGTATTTACAGTTATAGTTTATTATTATTTGTTTTCATTGACGAATATCAGACAAATTCGGTATGTTTTAATTTGGAACTCTTTTTGATTTGAAGACTGCAAGTTATTTAATAACAATTTGGTTCGACCCGATAATTAACTACATTTGATAATTGTATGACTATTGTATATACTTTTGCATCCAAACACGAAATATAAAATTTATATTTATGTGACTTACTACCGTGTTTCCCCGAAAATAAGGCCTAGTCAATAACGCGAAATTTTTTTCATTATTTAGTCGATAGCAAGAAATCTCTCCTACACATTTTAAATGATTGATAATATCTGTTTTGCAGTTCTTTTGAATAAAAATGTGTTATTTATAAGTAAAGAGATATCTGTATTATATTTTGTATATTTTTAAAATTTTGTAATTCTCTACTTTTTAATTTTGTTTTTGATAAATGAAAATATAAGACATCTCCCGGAAATAAGCCCTAGTGTTTTTTTCGGAAAAAAAATTGAAATAAGACCCAGTCTTATTTTCAGGGAAACACGGTATGCAGTGTAAAAGCTCTAGCGTTCATTGATTTGTGTAGACTTCCAGAAGGCCGAATTAATTATTTATTGCAAGTATTTTGTGCTGATTTGTTTTACATTTGTGCATTTGTTTTAAGATAATCGTGTCAACTCTATACTCCAAGTTGTGTGATTTCCTGGATTTGAGGATACAGATTTGGGCGCTCCGGAAGTATTCGTACCAAGATGACGCACAACCTTAACAACCCTAACCTGGTACAATACTATGTTCAGATTGGGCGCCATCTTGGTACGAATACTTCGGGGGCACCCTAATTTGGGCCTAAAAGACAAGGTTATTGGACTGTTAACAAATCCTAGTGTGCAGTCGGTGTCGTCCAGGCCACAAAGAACAGATGTTATACCTTTCACTTCATTCAAAGCACTTTTAGTAATATCTGTGTCGAGAATAATCGTTTATAGAGCTGTTCTACGTTACTTTTGGCTGGAATATATAAATTGTTATCAAAACATTTTTACATGAGTACAAAAGCCCATAGTGTAAATGTTTCATGTCTCCCTTATGTATTATGTATTAAATCAATTACTAGGTCTATATATTTGCAAAGGAACATTTCTCGCAGATGAAATAACTGACATATTAATTAGGAGAGTTTTGACTGTTTAATTAATTGTTTCGGCGAGGCATGTATCACTTTTTAGCTAGGGGCGAATGTTTCTGCCTTCAAAAAGGGCCAACTGTAAACAGAATAAAAAAAAGAAAGCTTACTGAGGATTATTTGCTCACATTTTTTATCAATCAAGCCGGGAGCGTATTCCTAACGCTTAGCACGATACGCCATAGCCAAGTCTGAAGCGATGATGTTGGCACATTTTTCATTTAAATCTAAACGCAGCTATGAGATTGTTGACTCACGTCTTACTAGGTGTATGGTTAGGTTTATCATTGTTTCCCGTGAAATATCATAAACATGAGAACCAGTGAGGTCCTGGACTGAGGGGTATATAAAAACTTTATGACTAATTAGGGTTGCATATCACTAATTACTGTTCATTTATACGCCTTCGCATCAGTTGGTTGGGGGAGTCCAACGTTGGTCAAACAAACCATCACGAGTAAAAGTGCGATGTAAAACTTTTGAACCCCCCTAATTGACTTGTGCAATGCGAACGGTGCAATGATTAGGGCCACGTGTTCCTAATTACTACTCATTTCTCCGCTTTTGCATCAGCGATCTGCGGAAGTCTAACATCGGTCAGGTGAAACTTTAAAGAGTGGAAGTGCGATGCAAAACATTTGGATCACCTAATATAATTGCCCTGTTTCTATTTTGTTACTTATCGATCTTGATCGGTAATTTCTTGATCATCCAAATTTTGCATGTGCATTCATCGTATCTCGGACCAGAAGCCTATTGATTTTGGATGAATTATGTCGTATAATTAGCGAGTTAATAATTAATTAGTGATGTGATACGCGGTGTCGCTATGGAGTAAGAGTAAGTAAGTAACTTTTGATCGATAAGTCTTCGGTCTCCAACCGATATTCTCGTTTATATCTCGTTGGTTTAGAAATAATTTTATATCATATGCTTTTATATACCGTTTGATCTCAATGTTTTTGACAGACGGACGAGTTCTTGTCCGTTTTAAACTTTTCAAGTTGCATGTATGTTTATTCGTTCGTAGTATTAAACGAGTAGTCAATTATTGGAAACATGATGCTCGCCTTCTAGGTAACTCTGCGTTTTGTTTGCCCATTCGTTGATTCAGGCCAGAGCAATCGAAATAACATATATATGACTGATTGATGAAACTTTGCTAAGTAAAGAGGAAATGACGCCCAAAACAAAATTTTGTAATTACATTTTTTGTTGTTGACAATTAATTATGTGTTCGTTTCATTGTCCCGACACGCTGTTTTAATTAATTTAATTAACGTATACTCAACTAATTTAATTAATTGTTTTTCCTGACCGTGTATTAGATAAATGTTTTGATGTGCAAATCGCCTGACCTATGACTTGCGGTTTGGAGAATTATGCGCGACACTGTTTCATAATTGAGGTAATCTATATCACATTTATAAAAGTCGCAATTCACTAATTTTAATATAAATAATTTCCTGTGTCTTAGGCCAGTAAGGTCTTGTACATGTATCCCGTCTCTTTTATATCGTTTAACTGTTATGCAGATACTGTTACATTTTTGAGGCAAATAAACATAGATACATACATACAATTTTGATGATGCCATCGCCCACAAAAACGAATCCCTTAGGGCCCACAGAAATTTTTGATATAAATAAAATAGCCTTATAGCGAAAATTTCAAAGCAATTGGACCAATAGTTGATAAGAAAGGCGATTTTTTCGTAATAAGAGATACAAGAATCCTAACAACAACATATTAGCAAATCGATCTATCCAATTCGTGTCCAATAAAAACAGTATAAACTCGAGTATTTATAGATCATTTACGGCCTTGAAAAACAATAATCATGAATCGAGGCAGTTCCCTCCTCACAGCTTCTCTCCTGATTCAGTTAGTTTTATTTTTTATCAAGTTCTTTCTTCATAGTCTTTTATGCTGATTATGGGGCAAAAAACTTTTATTCTTATGTAATTGACTGGAAAACTAACGAATTACATTTCACATCCATTTGACTGTTCTACACCTTCACGGTAGCCACTCACTGCTACCACTCACCCTTTACAAGTAACGAAACGTAAATGAATGAAACAAACATTTTATTGGCATTTTCAACTATAAGAACAACACAAATAAACTTTGAAGAGAAGAAGAAGAATGACATGATAGTTTATACATTCTAACAAAGTTTATTTTTTTTCGTATATATTGAAATCATAATCGGAATCCTGTTTTAATTCCCATAATTGAGTCATAATTAGGGCTGGACATTTTCGAATACTCGATGATTTCAGAATCGAATCGAATCTTGAATACTTGGGAGATATATATTCGTATGTAACTTTCTTATTGTATTAGGTCCTCCAGACACATGAATTACTGAAAACATAGAATACATCACTCAGGCAGATTGCTGAGCGTTCACACACAATAAGAAACACGTTTTCATCAATAATTCACGACAGAAAAGAGTCATACGTTGCGTTGAAATAATCTGACTTCAATAAAAAAAATTGAGAAATTTACCTCGACCATTGGCAAAAAAGAAAAAAAACAAGATGGCGGCGTTTCGAAATTTTCTTCTGAACCGATTCAAATTATGCCCAGCCCTATTAGTAGTAATTACATTTTGGAAGTGTTTTTTTAGCCAGTGAAAAAAAAAAAAGTTAAAAGAGATAATGTTGAATACAAATTTCATCGGGGTAAAGCCGCTGGGAACCAAAGTTGGTTATCGAGCAACATTGTTTGTCATAGTTTAGCTTCATTGCTGGTATTGAAACCAAAGTTATTTTCCAATTCCCAGTAGATAAGAGTCATGGATTTGAGAGTCCAATTTCAGAAATAAGTAGTCATGAGTAAAAGATCTCAAATGGCAAGCTTTTGCAGTCATAATCAGGCCCGGTTTATTTTAAGATAGGAAAGGATTTGAGAGGAAAGGGAATAATACGGCTTAATCATATGGCAAACCACAGGATTTTTTTAGGTATCTGAGAACTTTATCTCAATGGCCAGGCTAGGCAAACAGTAAATTCAAGTCATGACTTTCATATATATCCTGGGGAGATGAAAGGCCATAAGACTGCTTAATTAGGTATATGGTGAAATACAACTTCTCGTTACCAGTCCATGTTCTATGAAATGGTATGAAGTAGAAAAATACATTTTTTAAATATCAATTATAAAATCAAAGAATTTATCAATAATTGTTGCAGGAAAATAGGTCAACTTAATTTACTGATATTACATCAAAAGAAATCAGAATTGGTCAAGTCGTTGTGGAACAGCAACAAGCAAAAGAATAAAAATATCGGTATATTGCCAGCTGCACCAATCTACCATGATTCGAACAAAAAATTTACAAATATCTCAGTACCTAGAAGTATTAAATTTAAGTCTATTGAATAATATTATACTAAGACCATGTAAGAAGAGTTTTTCCACGCTTACGGTAATTAAATTTAATCTGAAAAATAATATTCTATGAAACCTTTAATTGTAAATCAGATTATTGTATCAAATGGAATTTGAAATTCAATGAAATTAACTTGCACATGTATGAAATGGATAAAACGTTTATCATTTACTTGCAATTTGGAGGTTATTTTATGGCGCTCTAGAAGTATGTGCACCAAGATGGCGGACACTGGAATGTAGTATGTGTACCAGGTTGGGTCATAATTTCATTCCAATTTTAGTTCAGGAACTAGCCGGGTGAATCCCGTAGTATTTGTACCTGAAATTATGGCCTGGCCTTAACCTGGTGCACACACTTCTAGAGGACCCATTTTATTCGGGTAATGTCCAAAAACTGACTTGAATTTGGCATGGATTTTTGTAAAACTAGACATTTTTCACAGGTTCTCGCAGAATATAATTCACTATCTTAAAATATATTGCAACCGGAGAAAAATCGGGAAAGAATTGCCCTTGATGTAATTTGCGCAAGTCTGCATGGTTGGTGAATATTTAATAATGATTATGATTTTCCATTAAAAATGACTGACTGGCATGGTGTGATGACAAAAATTGGTAAACACCTTGAATTTTAGCTAAATGAGGACAAACTAATAGCAATCTTGTGTTGATTGCTTCATTATTGGAGTATTGAAACGTATGGTCAGAAAATGCAAAATGGATTTGTAAGCAACAGAGTATCCTTATTTTAGAATTCGAACTGATTAGCTTATTTCTCTACTAGATTTCATATTACTATTTTTGGAAGCCCGAGGTTTTCGGAATGGTCCTATAAATTCTCATCTTTTTTATAAATTCATCATTTTACGGCCGTTTTCAGAGGGTCGGCTCATATGCTCATTTTTCAGCAAACAATTTTTTGCGCTTTCTATGAATCTAAACAAAAGACTTCATCTTTGAGTGATGAAAGAGGCACAAACTGTTTCATAATTGTAGCTGATGTATTGGATTATTGGAGAGTTTTGAATAAGCTGACCAATTCAATATTTCAGAAGTTGCGCAATTTGTTTAATAATTATAGCTAATGTATTGGGGTATTAAAAGAGTATTGAAACTGATGACCAATTAAATTTTCTTGGTGCATGTTGAAGCATAAAAAAACAAGCCAATTTTGATGCTATCATATTTCAGAAGGAAAGAACCATTTCTTTTCCATTTATTCTTTCTATTGATATATATAGAGGTTTCCATATCACCCCTGTTCAAAAGATGAAAGTTTCAATATTCTTGATGTATGTTTTTCTAAAACGGGCCAATTTCGATCATAGTTATCATTTTTCATCTCAATTTCATCTCAAATGTGGCAGAAATAGGACAGAGGAATAAAAGAAGAAAATTGATTTAACAGAAATTAAAATTAAACAAAGAATAAGAAAATCAAAAGGAACACTCAATTAAACATTAAATATACAAACAAAAACTTGTTTTGTAAAACAAGAATCCAGAGTGACCCAAAAAAACAGAAAACATAAATATCTTAATTATTTCTGAGAGTATAAAGGAAATTTATTTGACACTCGAACTACTGTTTGTGTATGTACCCAAAAGTTTCTTTAATCTAGGACGTTTTGCACAAAAGTTATATTTTTTCTGGATATGTTCAAACGCTTGGGCTCTGTTTTATGGGGTCACCATCCAGTAAAAACAATAGCAGACTAAGTTGGGAGAAAAGTAAACACACAGTTTTACTTGGAAGGAAAGTCACAAGGATTTAAGGTTGGTCATTAAATATATAGTAGTTTATACTGTGAATCTGATTGTCGTATCAGGTATGTATTCATTGTGTTGTTTTTGCTTATGTTTTGTTGTTTTTATATGGACCGTTGTTTTACCGCAGCGGTCTGGAGTAATAAACGAATTGAATTGAAATACACCAAGCATATACCAAGTATGGACAAGCATATTCAAATTGGCAGAAAAGTGGACACAAAGGAAGCGCCGTAACAGGGAACCGAAGCTGGTTATCAAGGTTGGCCAGGGTATTTAAGCAGTGAAATAGTCTAACAGAAATTGATTTGTGTTTGTTTCTAAAGCTAAAGGCAATTTGAGTTGGTGCCTGGCAGTCATATTTCAGACTTTTCAGAGTCTGGTATTAAAAGACTTCTCAAATTTGGGAGAAAAATTAAATACAAATGCACTATGCGTGGAAGATTCTGACATATACAAAACATTCTCATATAGTAGTGTTTTCCCTTATGTTCAAAGGGTATGGAGTCATGAATTTAGCAATTTTTGTTGTTTCCTGCCAAGCCAAAGGCTTTCTAGAGTCGAGTAATAAAAGATTTCCCGACTTTAGGCCTAAATTTGAAAACTTTTTAGAAAAAACTTTCATTGGAATTTGTATTTTGGGTTCTAAAGTTGAAGTCCCACGATCTGAATACCACACTTTTGAACTCATACCTGTGGCTTATCCATGTGCTTGGATGAATCATTGCTGATATTTGGTAGGAAAGGGCAGTATTGTACAGATTTGCATTGATATTGCTATGCTGGCAAGGAAATAAATTTACAATAGAATTTAATTCTGAAATTAGGAATATCACAAAATTAAAGTCACAAAACAGAAATAATATGAAACAAAAATTCACTAATAAAGGAGGCCTATTTAATATACAAGCTTGCTCAAAGTAAACCCTCAAAAACGCTTAAATAAAACAAGAAAGAGTACTGATAGAGAAAAAGCCAAATAGTATTCTTGCAAATTTGCTCCAAATGAGGTTTCTAACTCGCAACTGATAGGAACCTTGTAAACAACCATTAATGCTAAGAGGTGTATTTTTGAAACAGTGATAGTATATGGCAATTGACTTGCAACAATATCGAACCAAGTCAAGTCAAACCAGTCATGGAAATAGCCAGATGGGAACTGGTATATCATTATATGCTCTAATGAGGTTAGAAATTTACATCTAAATGAATGGATGAATTTAGAATATTTGTGGTGACGCTTTTCCACACAAAGACTTTTAAAGGAAGCTACTGAGTTCTCATTTTTAGGAAAGGCCGAAATTCTTAAAATTTTCCATTATTGCCCCCAGGATTTGAAGCCACAGACCATGTGGTTTGAATCAGAGCCCTTACATCTATCTTTCATGCCAACACGTCATGGCGACCTTTGACCCCAACAGTTTTACGTATTTTGCTCTTTTGACATCAGTGAATTTCTGTCATTGTTCATTCATCTGTATTCATCTCCGCAACCTCCAATGCTTTTTAATAAATCGTTCGACCGTGACGTTATTTTAGCAATCATGGACCTGTTCTGCTCCGTTAAGCACCAATCATAATCAACGCTTTGCAAGTTCTCTACCGCGTGATTGGCTCCCAAAACTCCAAATCTGCAGCCGATTATGACCCCACCAACAACGGGGTCATCGAGCACCCACCTAAAAAAAGAATGTCAATTTTATCTCTAATAAAGGTTCTAGACAAGCTATATGGTTTTAAAGATTCCCAAATCAGCATTACTCAGGGGCCATATTGAATAGTTACGGCGGTCGTACTTGGCCCGTGGGCCAAAGTTTGGGAACCACTGTTTCATGTCATAAAACCAAACTCGCGCATTGCATTATCATAAATCTTATTTGTCATAATTTCATAACTGATCACTAAAGTCATATTCTCCTTCAAACGCATCATGATTTGTTTTACAGAAATGTGCTGTAGGCTCAAAAATTTCAGAAACCTAAATATAAATCTCCTTTACATTTAATGAGTGTCTCTGGATTCCCCTGACATCCTCAGGATATTTAAACGTTCCTAATATAAAAATATATTAGTGTGAATGTTTTGTTTCTATAGTAATAGTTAATTTAAGCTTCCTATTTTTATTTTATTTCATGTTTTTTTCACCCCATATATGGTGTCGCTGCTCAATAACCAGTATTTTTTTGGAGTCTCCCTCCCCCCTCGAAATGCTATTCCTATTTTATTCTACACCGTATATGTATGTTACACATTTTCAGCATTGGTGGAAAAACAAATCACAGATTACTAAAAGAAACTTTACCTTGTTGCTACATTTGCGATTTGGACGTTATGCTGATCAGCAATATCTCGCAGAGTCGATAATAATTCTTGGAATAATTTCCAACCCCCCCACGCATCGATCATTTGTTTATATTTCCATAGCGACGCTGTGTATAAATCTTTTCGCCCTCTTGGTTCCGGTTGACCAAGATAATCATCTGTTAATAATCCTCCACCTTAAAAAAAAATTAGAGTTTTATCAAAAAAATAGAGCTGTTCAGATCTTAGAAAAGTTGTTGAAGATTACAGTTCTTTCGAACATACTGGCTCCTTACCTAACGATTTATTTATTTTCATACTTACAATCTACATACCTCTGAAACAAATACTAATCCCGTACAGACTGTACTGCAGGGGTCGCAAACCTACTGCCCGCGGTGTAACATAATCCGGCCCGCGACGCTTCACTGAATTATAGTAACAAAACAGCTGTTTTGACGATTATATTATTTACGTAACAGAATTTATTGTGAGACACGTGTAGACTAATTTATATTATAACCTAACAAGTATATAATTCACAATTACTCGTTTAATGAGCCTATAGTTTAATTATAATTAGATGAATGGCAACTAAACGCAGAAAAGTTGATGCCAAGTGCAAAGGGTTCAATGGTGCCGAAAATTTTAAATAAAATTTTTTGAGTTGCAATGCAATGAGGAAATAAATCTAGATTCTATTCGAGAGATGTATCACTGCTTGATTTTTATTATAAAAAGTATCATCCGTTCAGTTTTCATCTTTCTAAAAATATGTGTGGCCCGCCAATGACTTGCAACCCTTAATTTTGGCCCGCAAGCGACAAAAGGTTGCCTACCCCTGCTGTACTGGGACCGAAACGGTGTGAGAGGCCATCCTTACCCCATATGATTCAGTTAGAGGTGTGCAACATGCAAAATGCGGCCCACAAGAAAGTATTGTGCGACCCGTGGCGAAGTGCCAATTTGAATGCGCGGCCCGCAAAACGAGGTTTTTCTTCAGTCTAATTTAGTATGTGTGAGTAATTCCATTTACTGTTTCTGAGCTTGTTGTGCGAAGCGAACAAAGCATGTCAAAATATCAATAGAAAAATTCTTCATGTATTAACTACTAGAATACCTATATTGAATGAAGGTGCGACCTCCTGTATTAAAGGTTGCACAACCCTAAATTAAGTCATCGCATTGACTTTCTCCCAAGCTTTCTTTGAGCTTTCTATTTCCGACTAAACAAAATTCCCAACTCACACAAAGTTCCATAAGTTAAAAGTTTGATTCCATTCATTCGGCAAAATTTGCTCATTCTTTGTGATGGGCGTTGATCAATGATTGAATATTGCACCTGAAAAATAATAAAACGGAAATGAGAATCATAAATCATTTAGTTAGCCATTTTTTGAAGCTCCCAAAATATGTGCACCAAGATGGCGCACAACCTGAACATAGTATGTATATCAGGTTAAGGTTCAGGTTGTGCGTCATCTTGGTGCACATACTTCGAGAGCATCTTTTTTGTTTCAGATACATGAATTTGATGTTGGGAGAAGCCATACTGAACCTGCAGTTACGCAAAACGCCCTACGGGGTTAAAAGAATCTAGCAGTCGCCACGGAATTCGAGCCTGCGAACCCAACTGGGGTAATCAGAAGTGCAATGGCAAGAGTATTCTCAACACTTAGCAAGAATGTGCCACACCCCCACCCACTATAGAAAGCAGAACAAAATCCCAATTAAGGGAACATCAATATATTAATTCTGTATACTACCATGTATAGTCATTCACACAGCAATTAACTAGCTATGAATATAGCTGATCCAGTATATCCTAAACCACCATAAATAGTAGCATAACCTGACTTTTCTATATCAATCAAGAAGAAAATGCATTAATAAGATTCTGCTCTGGATATTTATTCAGATTAAATTTGGCACCACCAGTCGTGGTGGTTTTATTTTATATTTTCATCCTTGTATTAGCATGTTGTAGGCATGGGACGAGCAAGTCGACGGTTAGCAAGACGGCTTAAAACGGGAGTCGGCAACCTCCGGACGCTCGTGGGCCAATATTAAGGGTTGCAAGTCATTGGTGGCTGTATATATTTTTATAAAGTTGAGGCTGATACGTCTCTGGAATAGAATTTTGAATATTTTCGGCACCATTGAACCCTTTGCATATAGCATCAACTTTTCTACGTTTTGTTGCCATTTGTCTGATTATAATTAAATTTGGGCACATTAACTGAGTATTTGTGAATTATATACTTGTTAGATTATAATATAATTTAGTCTACACATGTCTCACAATAAATTCTGTTGCGTAAAGAATATAATTGTCATAACAGCTATTTTGTTACTATAATTCAACGAAGCGACGCGGGCCGGATTATATTACTTCACGACCGGGCCGTAGGTTGTCGACCCCTGGCTCAGTAGGTTGGATAATAGGTGAGTATTTCTGTAAATAGATCAATGGGATAAATTTGAAGTTTAGACCAGTCATTTGCAAATTTCACAACCATGAGTGGACCGCCCAGAAAAATAAAATTTACTAACTGGCAAAGAAATATAGGGAAAAAGTGCTAATATGATTGAGATATTTATTAGCCAAGTAAACACCAATGGATTATAATATTCCAAAACCGGCATCTGTAATCATAAAATTAGGTCGAAAATGAATAAAAAAAGAAAATTATTTTCCATTTTTAAACTTATACAACCTTTTTATTGGAGTACTTCGATGAATATCACCTCAAGATTTAATCAGATAAACAGCTATAAAAGCGTTAGGGTGTCCATAAAGTCTTGGAATATTTTAAATTTGCAAAGTGAATTTATCGATACCACATATTGTTTTGTCCTCACAGATGTATTAAATAAAGTAAATATACTTGAACAATTACCCAATAAAGAACAACAAACCTGTTTTGGAAACTGACTTCATAACAGAATTGAAATCGTAAAGGGACCTTATGGACACCCTGTATTTTTTCAATATTTCAACATTTGCCCTGATGTTTTGAAACACTCAAATTATAAGATACTTCTATGGTTTGTTTTGTGATAATTCCCTAATGACCGCTAAGTATTATTTATCCAACAGTGTGGACAAATTAACTATAATCACTAGAAATACAGGTTTATTTATGCATGGCTGCACAGTATATTCTGACCCACCATAAATAGTAGCTTAGATGCTTCTGATATAGACATGTAAGGATATAGCACGCCATAATTTCTTAGAGAATTTTGGTACCACCACTCGCGGTGGTTTTATGTCCTTATTTTAATTATTTTTGCTGCTGCTCATTCTGAGGGAGTGACAGTTGCTTATAGTAGCCCGAACACTGCAAGTGGGAGAAAACCTAGCTTTAAGGTTTGCATGTCGTATTTGATCAAGTTTTCCACTTATCAGTCATCCCATTATGTTCAAACAATTCATGCTCAACAAAGTGAAAACATCATGTGAAATAACCTTATCAAGCAGTGGAACTAAGAAGAAAAGGGGGTTGTCTTGTTGTGAAAAGTGAAATCAGTATTGTGCCGAGCATTAGGTCCCCTCAAAACTGCTCTGTGGCCCCACTGGGGGTCTCCTATTGGGAACCACTGTATTATTAAAGGTTGAACAAATGACTAAAACAAAGTCTTTATGCCAAGTAACGAATGATTACACAGCTCTGAAATAGGCAAAGGGAGGAATATGTGTTGTGTCGTGAACTCGGAAAATGGACGATCTTTGCAGAAAATCAAAATGTATTACAGAAAACACACTCAACAAAAAGAGAGCAAGACAGAAACCAAGGTCACTCATGCATGAAACAACGAGAGCCATATCACAATATGTCAATAAGATTGGGAAACAAATATCTAGTTTTGTCATATTTTTCAATATTTTCATGTGACAGAGCAGAAACAAAAGCATTTTGGGGAATTTATTTCTAAAATTGTTAAATTCCATTGTTAGTTTCTGTTCTAAAAATATAAACTTCCTTGTTGCTGTAGAAGTAATATGACACGCCTCTAACACACCCCATAAATTATTGCACCAGAGTGTTGTGGATCACGAAATAACAGTCAATAAATTTTTATTACTTGGCTGTTATTCGGGTTGGCCGTGGTGTTATAAATCTAAAACAGGGGTGCTCCCAACCAGGGGTGGGCATGGTTTACAGACCAGGAGCCAAAAATTTGGCCTACCTAGACTGGCAGGTCGTATAGGTAAGTGTGACTTGTTTAGTTTATACATTTGATTTAAACTATCATATTGAATACATAAAATTTAAAATATCCCCATCATTTTATCATCAAACATTCTTCTATTTGTGAAAACATGATAATAACGCCAAAAAAAAATTTTAGGGACATTTTTTGATAATCCAATTTTATATTTCCACATATTAGGTAAAAAAAACTTATGTGACTAATGATCTTATGTGGCTGTTTGATTGTCAACCATTACAGACTAATATTTTTAGAAAAATTCTGAGGGATTTTCCGTTACAGCACCTTTTGTTATAATATTTGGCAAAAAAAGTTAGAGAAGTAATAAACGTATTTGGAATTCACTTCCTTATTATGGTGCAATAGACCTGACACACCCATTATACACCCCTTATATTTGATATGAATAATTCAAAGGGTAATAAAAATGGATAGGTTGAAAATCACGTGTAATTTTTTAGTTTGTTTACTTAAAATTATTATTGATTAGGGATGGCCAATACCGAAAAATTCACTATATCGAATACTTCGGGAATAATTTCAAGCTCATCTTATTGTATGCAAAATGTCGATACTATATCACGGGTATTGCATTACGCTACAAAGCACGGAAAATCGTTTGAAGATTTCTCTTTAAAACGAAACACCTCGCTGACGAAAAGTCACTATTATTCGAAAATCAGCCGAAAAGGTATTCGAATACTTTGATATTCAAATACATTCGAATATTCGATTCGTTTTGGACAACCCTGATTAAATTTTGATCACCCAAATATATCTTTGCTATAGAACAGGGGTGTGCAACATATTTTTGTCGGTGAGCCATATAACCAACTTCAGATGACATCTTGCTGGGCCACACAAAAAATTTAGCGGGAAAGGCAAGAGACAAAAATGCGACTCACCTATAGGAAGGAACCTTACAATAATAATTGCACCATGCAAAACTGAGGAAGCGACAGGAACAAAAACACATTATGTTTTTTCATCCATGTAAACGTCTTTTCAAACTGTCACATTAAGGTGTTAGTGTTAACGAGGGCAATAATAAATGCCCTGCTGGCTGACTGTTGCACACCGCTACTAAAGAAGATCTGGAAGCTGACCGTATGTCTGTTGAATGAGTTTGAGTTGAGAAATAGTTGGAATGTGTTGGCCTAACATAATTACTTACCACAGCATGATTTATCACTGTTACATAACAATTAGAATGAAAATATTCATTATGACATAACAAACCTGATAACAATTAGAATGAAAATATTCATTATGACATAACAAACCTGATTGGTTGAGATTTCGATTCCTTTAGAAGTTATTTCTTCCAACCTTGCTGTGTCGAAGTTTGTCAGCGATAATTCACCTGAAAAAAATAAAAAAACAATTATTCTATGAAAATTTAAACAAAACATAATATATTATAACTACAGTCAGGGCTTCGTGCAAGCAACTACTCAAAAGTTTCAGGTTTATAAGTTCTTTCAATTCCTATTTAAATAAAATGAAAAACTAACAAAAAAAAAAGAATATTTACACAAGAAATTAAGCAAAAACTATCAATTAGATATTCTGACGAACGTCAGTACAAGTTTCAGGTGCAATACAACTTTTTTCAGTTACAGAATTGAAATAACTAATTCATTCCTTATAAAACGATCTTATAGTCCATTACAGGGCTTCCCCCAACTGTTAAGCTTGCGCCCCTTCTCTCCATGAAAATTTTCCTCTACTTCTGTTCATGGTTAAAATGCCAAACAGTTAAAAATCGTGAGATTTGTGTTTTGCACTAGTTAGACTCAAAAGTCTAAAAAGTACAATAGATATACCTTCAGTACTATGTGTGAAATTGTTATACTCTCTGCGACACCCAAGCGCAGGGCTCTTGGGCTGCACATGGAACGTATATAGTGCTGGCTATTAAACCAATTTATTCCCTGATTACCGATTATTCTATAAGTATGGATTATTTGTGATGGTTATTAGTGATCAGGGATTTGAAAGGACATAAATTAAGGCAAACCTTTTAAGTTGGCAATCAATACTCTCAAATGGATTGCTGCTATAATGACATTGGGGATTATTTACTAAAAGGGATTAAGCATTAAATGCAATTCCCACTGAAGCTGAGGAGTTTGGTATGTTTTTATTGATATTAAAGTCAAAGCTGGAGTATCACAATCATAAAAAAATTGATTTTCACCATACATAATATTTTCACATACATAACGAAGTAAAAAAGTGTTTATCGTGCAAATTGCGCCTGTAAATACCCATTGGTGTGATACTCGAAGCAGTTCAAAATCAACATAGTGAATTCAACTCAACCCAGGTTCTTGGACAAACAACTTTGGCATTTAAATGTCTTTGTGTAAGAGGATATACCGAAAATAAACGAACGTGGGCTAACAGGCAGTCATGTACAGCAGCCAAAAACTTTTGAGGGTGTGGATTCAATGTAATTGAAGTTTTGGGGAATAATTTTTTCATAAAAATTTCGTTGTCTTAGTTTGAGGATACGATGAAACTGTAAAGGAAAGGGCTCACAGCCAAGTACTGCGGCTGAAGGCTTTTTGGATAACTAATGATACTTGAACATGAACTTGAAGCAATTCGAAATGCTATGAGGCTGTGAATTCAATGTAAACTAAGTTATTGGAAATGATTTTTTCAAAAAAACTCCTTCGTCTTCAAGAGGATACATGGAAAGTAAACGGATGTGGGCTCACAGCCAATCATGTACGTTGACCGAAAACGTTTTTAAATAAATAATGACACTTGAACATGTACTTGAATCAATTCAAAATGCTGAGACTGTCAATTCAACGTAAACTACAGTAAGTTCTTGGAAATGATTTTAAAAAAAAATTTGTCTTTGGGAGTATACATGGAAAGTAAACGAATGTGCAAGTACAGCTGTTGTAAACTTTTTTTCGGTAATACATACCATTAATCAATATAACATTGTCTTTAATCAGTCGTGTAGGAAGTGCTATGCTGCTACAAAGCGGAAATATTGAAACATGACAGAATTATAATGTGGACTTTGATCTTTCATCGTGCAGTAGTTTCATATTATCTGTCTGTGTTTGTTCCGTAAACGTACAATTCGTACTCCTCCTGACAAAACTTCATTGGCATCGCATTGGCGCAATATTTTTAATTCTTCAAAACTAGGATCTGAGCAATTATGAATGTTTTAAATTTGAGAGTTGTGAGCCGAAGCATAACGCATCGCATTTATATTTTATGTGATTTTTGTTTATTTCTCGAAGTGTTCACTTTTTTGTTTAATTTAACAATGTTTCTTGCACAACGTAATCTGAATATGGAGAAAGTAGTCTGCTACCATGACGATTAGTAATAGGAATTTGTCGAGATTGCGATTATATTTGATTTTGAAACGAGGCTCATTGTTTTTCTACTTTTGCTTTTGTAACACTGTAAATATTGTTCATAAAATGTAACTTTTTACGTCACACTTACATGGCCCGCCAGTACATGGCACCTTGTTCCAAAAATACCTTGCCCACCCCTGATCTACACCATGAAGTTCATGTATCTAAAGCAAATAACTGGTTAGCTATTCCCATACCAGACATGGACTGGTAACAGGACGAAGTGCTGTTTCTGATATTAACAGGCCTTCTTATTAGCTTCTATCTCCCTGGGAATGAAAAGGGTAGTGTTTTGATATTTATTATGGGAGATAGAAGAGATGATCATAAATCATAATCATATGGTGAACCACAATCTCTCGTCCTGTTGCCTGCCAGTCCATGAAGGAAATAGTTAATCAGTTTTTCATCTAAGATCCATGAATTTAATTTCGATTGAAACACCACAATTTTCACTATTCTAAATTAAACAGCATTTTTTAACGACCACCTTTTCAAACGACAAGAAGTTATTTATATAAATAATAGTTATTTAATTGTGTGACTAAATTGTCTAAAAATGTGTAAAGTACATTGGAAATCGAAATCATACAGCTAGGATTACAAACCACTACTAGAAGTCCCAAACCAAAGTAATTCAAACACTGCCAGGGAATGAATAGGCTGGGTAGCAGAATATATTTATCCTGTAAGGCAAAGAAATCCCAGAGGTGGTTTGGACTGATTAGCAATGATTACCACTACAGACAGTGTAAGTGAGGTAAGTGAGAGTGGTAACCAGTCTGGTGAAACCAGACTATTTCCCAACTGAGGGATTATTACTCATATTCTGGTATTATTGAGCTGTCTTTATCGTGTTCCCTTTCTTGGGGAATAAATAGAATGGATTGATGAATTTTCATATTTATTCTGTACGACAAGGAAATCCCATAAAACGGTTTAGATTGTGAACCATGGCCTATCGCTCAATTACTAGGCCATGAACTTAATTTCAGTTTCAAATAATCATTTTACTATTCGAAATAAGACAGCGTTTTTTAACGACCGCTTCAAGCTTTTCAAAGCACAAACAGTAATGTATATAATCTATATTCAATTGTGTGACTAAATTGTCTAAAAATGTAAAGTACATTGGAAATCGAAACCAGCCAGCTAGCATTATAAACCATAACTAGAAGTCTTAAACCAAAGTAATTCAAACACTGCCAGGGAATGAATAGGATTGTTACAGGATAAATTTATCCTGTAAGACGAAGAAAGCCCAGTTTCAGTTTTAAATAACCATTTACACTATTTGAAATTGAACAACACTTTCATTAATGACCGCTACGAGCTTTTCAAAGCACAAGCAGTAATGTATATAATCTATATTTAATTGTGTGACTAAGTTGTCTGAAAATGTAAAATACATTGGAAATCGAAATCAGCCAGCTAAGATTACAAACCACACTAGAAATCTTAAACCAAAGTGAGTCAAGCACTGCCAAGTACGATAATAGTAATCACCCCTGGGGCACATATCAGCATTTCTTCAAGCATTGAGTATACTTTAGAGAGTAAAGTCAGAAAGTAAATCTATCATCAGATTTTTGTAATTCCTGTGGTCAATGAGACAAGATGTAGACGGACAATAATTATCCTGTGAGATTTAAAACTATTTCAAGGTCATTTCGTAACCTTGGTTTGTGGTAATGCTAGAAGCTTTTATTCATTTTTCAGGTGGCAAACAAAATACCTGATTCTGAGTAACTACCAAAAACTAACATGAGAACAAAACAAGGATCTTGAAGTGTTTGCAAAAAGTAAAAAATTTAAATTCTGTTTTTCAAGATTTTGAATCCATGGTAAAAATTATTGGATGTAAAATATATTGGTAAAGAGATTCAAAAATAATTATAAAAATCACTTAATAAAACCAGCATTTGAGTAATGCCAAACCAAATTCGAAACATCTATTCATAATGAAGTGATCATTTCTGTTGAACGTAGGAAATACAGTAAACATTTTGGTACTCCCGTAGTATGTGAACCAAGATGGAGGACACAGGAACGTAGTATGCGTACCAGGTTACGGTTAGGTCGTAATTTCAGGTACAAATACTCCGGGAGGCACTTGGCTAGTCCCTGAACTCGTAATAGAACTAAAATAAGGAAAATTGGATTATGGCCTAACCCTAACCTGGTACACATACTACGTTCCAGTGTCCGCCATCTTGGTTCACATACTACGGGAGCCCCAACATTTCATATAAAAGACAACTGTATTTTTGGGAACAAAAATACATTGTGAAGACTCTTCACGGCATTATTTTGATTTTTAGAATTTCTACTTGAAATTCCCCCACACTGTTTTTGGGATGTTCATGCATAACTGACAAAAAGTATTTTGTCTACAGAGGAGCGAAAAAAGCAATTTCATGACTGTGTGTGAATAACCCAAGGACCATGGAATTATTCGATTCTTAGTATTTCTTCTGAAGTGTTTTTAAAAGAATTTTTATTTTATTTATGTAATCAGATTTTTGTCATTCCTGTGGTCAATGAGACAAGATGTAGACAGACAATAATTATCCCATGAGATTTAAACTATTTCAAGGTCATTTTGTAACCTTGGTTGTCTGTGGTAATGCTAGAAGCTTAAATTTCACTCAGCCAGCAAAATACCCAGATTCTACTAAATTGTCAAAATACAAGATGCGAACAAGGACAATGTTGATATTGAAAAATTTAAAATTTTATCTCTTTTATAAGCTTAAGCTTTCTGTATTTGTTATAAAATAGTAACACATATAACATATTGATAAAATTAAAAATGTCTTAGTGAAACACGAAAATTTGTATTTGAGTGAAGTAATATTGATAATGTTTTTGAATTAAAAAAGAAAAAGACTTTATCACACAATTTTTATTTGTAATTACCGGCATTTATCATTTTTGTATGCTATTGAACATATTTTAAATAAGGTGT